TCTCGACCTCAGATACTAACAGTGACCTTAATATGAAATTTCAGGATTTCACCTCTGTAATTGCCCCTAATTACAAAACTTAGTACATTTATTACGCATATCTAAATTGAGCTCCTTTTCCCAACCACAGGCACAATCTGAGTTAGCCATATCAAATTTCTGGAATCCAGCTCCATCTCTTCACTTAATACCAAATTTAGTACTATTTCCAAACCCCTCAATATCTGAACTAAAAGTGACATCAATATCATACTTTAGAATTGTATCTCTATCCCTTCACAAAATACCACATTTATTTTTTTCTACAGTCAAAGTAAGAATTATGAAAACAATCTCCATATTTCAATCTCAGATACAAACATTGACTTTTATATCAAATGTCTGTATTTCAGCCCTGTAGTTTCCCTCAATGCTAAATTTAATACCATTAAGTAAAATTTTAGTACGCCGCATTCCGAAACCAGCCCCCTTTCTCATCTCCCACAGACAGCAACAGTGACATATATATCCCAATTTAGTAATATTTAGTACTTCTCGCACAATTGTAGTACATATTTACAAAACAACCTCCATATCTCAATTCCAGATACAGAGAGACCTCAATATCAAACTTACAACAGAGACCTCAATATCAAACTTAAGGACACCAGCCCTAACCTTTCACCCAATACCAAATATAGTACCATTCAATACTTTTCGTACAATTATAGTACATATTCCCGCAACCACCTTCATATGGCCGGGCTACGCGTGCACAGCGACCCTAAATTTTAGATTTGTCGCAAGTCTACCAACAACAGGAATCCCAATTGAAAGTGTCAAAATTCATTACTTTTTCCTTCTTTATCCAGTTCTTGAAATTGGAAGAAAAGTATTGTGCTATTTGACTGGATAACGGATATTCTGAAGAATATTACGTGTGTGGTTATCAAGAAAATTGTCTTTACAGTAAAAGGTTTTTCAGAACATATCCCTGTGCTAAGACTTACTTACTTACGAGTTTAATGTCCCGTGAAATGAGGCCAACCGGAAGTCTCTTTGGACCAAATCCGTTTAAGTACATATGGAGCCGATCTAGCAATGTCCGCTCGTCTATCGGTATGTCTGCTGTTTGGAGCGCACGATAACTATCGAAAGGCGTATCCGATTTTTTTCACACTTGGTACATCGTCATATTATTGTCAAACTTTGATCCAGTTCGGAGGTGGGCAATATCGGTCCACTCCTTCTGGTACCCCCACCAAAAAAGGCCAAAAAGAAAAGGATAATCCGCTTTTGCTCCAACTTTGCAAATACAGTGGATACAGTCCAAACTTGGTCCTTTACGAAATGGACATTATTGGCCCTTTCCTTCGGTCCCTTGTCCATAGAGGTCAACAATTCGAATAATCACAACAAAAGTAAGTCAAAATATATTTTAATAACCGAAGATTGGTTAAGGGTATACATCTGTCGGCAAAACCGACTGATACTTTTTAAAAGTTTTTTGTCACAGAAGTTATTTTTAATAACTTCTGTGGAGAATATCCCAGCCAAAAACAATGGAACTGTTGAGGATTTGTGCCTTTTTCCGAAACCTCCACTAATAAACAAGCGTTGGTTTACAAAAACAACAATAAAGGGATTAAGCCTGACCATTTTGCAACAACAAAATACTATGGTATCGGAAAAAACAAGCCAACACCGTTTTTTTTTATTAATTTAGCTTGTTGCAATATTTTCAATGATATAAGTGACGAACAAAGTCCTTAAGGTGCACTTAAACATATTTGTTTATAAAAGGCCTTTAAAAATGCTCATATACAAATTTCACCAGTCTTAAATATAGGGTTGCCCATATTCGACGGACCCATCTGGCAACGCCATAACTTTTGACAGAGATGTCACATCGCTTAATGACATACCGCGTTTGAAGCGTCAGTCCAAGCAGATTTTTACCATGAACCAATACACGCCACGCGAGCACTCTGAAATAGTTGAAATTTACATTCAACACAAGAAGTCAATTGTGAAAAAAAATATGAGAAGTGCGCCTTCTAAGAACACCATTAAGCGTTTATACGAAAAATTTTCGACTGGTAAGGCTCTTTCTAATCCGAAGTGGCCATATAAAAGTCGACCAAGGCGATCGGCCGAGAATATCGCTGCCGTACGAGCCAGTGTTGAGAGGTCCCCAAGAACATCCCAAAAACGCCGTTCTCAGCAGTTGGGCATGGCTCGGTCCACTTTACAACGGATTATTCGCATTGATTTGCATTTGTTCCCGCACAAAATTCAATTGACGCAAAGAATGTTGCCTGCAGACAAGCCTCGTCGATTGGAATGGGCCCAAAGAGTCATCGAAAAAAACATGGGTCCCTCGAATATGTGCAACCCTATACTAAAATAGTAGGTCACAAATTGTGTTGTCAACAGAAATAAAATTTAGGCACCGTACCGCTTACATGAATACCTCCCTTCATTCCTCTCCTTCACCCATTTAAACATGTAGGCCACCAGACCCATGGTGGATACATAATTAAATTTTAAAAATTCTATTTTAAAGGGTATGCGCTTATTCGCACCATTTATGAATTATCAACATTATTTTGAACATAAAAAAATACGAATTGTTTTTTTTTACAGTTCAATGGCTATAACGGTCGTCCTGGCTGGCCTACAGTTGCAGCCTCTCTGTAATTGCGGTTCAATAATCACTGAGCTTACAATAGTTTTGTGTGGCAAGTGAAAGATGAATGGAAGAGGTGAACTTTTCTGGCGGCTGACACAGAAACACAAACAATCATGGACAAAGACACACACACACAACGATACATAGCATTACCCAGAGAACCGAGGGTGTGAGAGTTTTTAAACACTCTCCCAACTCCAATGGCAAATCTTCAGGAGTTTCGTTGAATAAAGTGTTGAGTTTCGAGAGGTTTTCATTAATTTTGAAATACTTTGAGCCAAGACCCATAAGTAAAGAGAGAAAGAGAGAGTGAGTGGGAGAGAGAGAGTAAAATATTTAAATGACCCGATTTGAGTTGAAAATATCAATTATTTTTTTATACCCTCCACCATAGTATGGAGGGTATATTAATTTTGTCATTCCGTTTGAAATACTCAAGTCAGACCCAACAAAGTATATATATTCTTGATCAGCGTAAAATTCTAAGACGATTTAGCCACGTCCTTCTGCCATAAGTAAAGAGAGAAAGAGAGAGTGAGTGGGAGAGAGAGAGTAAAATATTTAAATGACCCGATTTGAGTTGAAAATATCAATTATTTTTTTATACCCTCCACCATAGTATGGAGGGTATATTAATTTTGTCATTCCGTTTGAAATACTCAAGTCAGACCCAACAAAGTATATATATTCTTGATCAGCGTAAAATTCTAAGACGATTTAGCCACGTCCTTCTGCCTGTCAGTGTGTCTATCTGTGTGTCTGTCTGTTGTAATCATGCTATATTTCGAACAAATTGAGGTAGAAGGCTAAAACTTTGCACACATGTATATTTTGCCAGTGGGCAGGTTAAGTTCGTAAATGGGCCATGTAGGTCCAAGTTATCATATAGCCCCCATATAACGGTACCTCCCGATATTCGGTATTTTGATGATTTTAGCGACATTATTCACCGGAATTGTTTCAAATTTGGCATTTGAAGTTCCTAATAGATACTACACCCTAAGACAGAAAATAGTCTGTGTAGGTCAACGTCTTCGTATAGCCCCTATATAACGGTACCTCCCGATATTCGGTATTTTGATGATTTTAGGGACATTATTTAACGGAATCGTTCCAAATTTGGTATTTGAAGTTCGTAATAGATACTGCAGCATAAAACAGAAAATGGGCCATGTAGGTCCACGTCTTCGTATAGCCCCCATATTCGGTATTTTGATGATTTTAGCGACATTATTTACCGGAATCGTTTCAAATTTGCCATTTGAAGTTCGTAATAGATACTGCAGCATGAAACAGAAAATGGGCAATGTAGGCCCACGTCTTCGTATAACCACCATATACCGTACACCCCGCTATTAGGTATTTTGATGATTTTAGCGACATTATTTGCCGGGATTGTTTCAAAATTCGCATGTGAAGTTCGTAACGGATACTTCAGCCAATGCCAGAAAATTGTCTGTGCAGGTCCACGTCTTCGAATAGCCCCCATATAACGGTACCTCCTATATTCGGTATTTATAAACAGATTTTTCTTCAAGTTTCGCATTTAAATATTGTAATAACTTATAACAAAAGTTGCCTGTGCAGGTCCACATCGTCGTATAGGCATTCGGTATTTTTAAGATTTTAACAGAATTTTTAACGGATTTTATTATTTTTTTTTTTTTTTTTTGGAAATTGCCAAATTTGTACCAAATGGTGGAGGGTATTAAAAGTTCGGCCCGACCGAACTTACTTTTTTTTACTTATTAATTATAAGAATATTGACATAAAGTTTGAGAGGTAAGCTTGATATTTTCCGATTTCAATTGAAATTTATAAATAATAATATTGTGATGGAACACAGAACCGATGTCCGATACAATTTGAGGATCCTTGCGATCAATTTGTCGGACAAATTAAAATTAAGATCTTTTCCGTAATAATGCAAAATCTCTAGAGGTTTTTATCTCCAGTTATAAGCCTTTTGAAGACTTTGACTCTTTCTTCAGCGAATTGGTTGTATCTTACAGTCTGGGTTAAGCTTTGGATTATACATTTAGAGGGTATCAAAATTTCGGCCCGGCCGAACATAACACCTATTTAACATGCTTATTTTCACGTCATCGTAAAAAATTTTTATTTTTCCCAAATTTTTGTTTCCTGGGCATAGCTATTACATTCATTGCCATTGAAACGAGATAAATTCCTGGGAAATGTTTCTTGGCCATAATCCATAATCTGTGCTCACAGTTTCCCCCAAAATGCATTCCCAGCGCTGTCTTCACATCTTCTTCTTGTTCTCTTGCTAGTTGGCCCAATAGTTAAATGTTTTTTTTTTTTTTTCCAGGCAATAAAACATAAAAATTAAAAACTTTTCATTTTCATACTCACATCCTTCCGGTTCATCCTTCCTGACTGACGACTGATGAAGAATGGTGGTAGGAACAACAACCAGTGTTCCAATGGCAATTATCTGGGAGGTTTCTCCGTTTGCCTTTTGCAATTGTATTCGTTCGGAAAACAAATCACTTTTAATACTTTTAAACGAAGGGAAAAGGCAACACGAGGAGGAGTTTGGTGAACAGTTCCATAGCCATAGTCCGTGCCTGAATCGCAAAGTATGTTTATGATGCTGCGAAAGCGATGGAAGATTTAAGTCTAAGATGCTAGTGAAGAAAGTTTCCTTATGTAGGGGCTGGATATGTGTGTGATTTTGATCCGTTAATTGGTTGGGCGAAAAGAACATGATAAACAGAACAACAAATTCACAGGATAACTTAATGGGTATTCTATGATGATAGTAGACCTTTAAGGTCTTCTATGGAGATCGATAGATGTGACCTTACAGGTCCCCTTTGGCGATAGATGACCTTACAGGTCCTCTATGGCGATAGATGACCTTACAGGTCCTCTATGGCCATAGATGACCTTACAGGTCGTCTATGGCAATAGATGTGACCTTACAAGTTCTCTATGGCGATAAATGCTCTTACAGGTCCTCTATGGCCATAGATGACCTTACAGGTCTTCTATGGCGATAGATGACCTTACAGGTCCTCTATGGCGATAGATGACCTTACAGGTCCTCTATGGCGATAGATGACCTAACAGCTCCTCTATGGCGATATATGACCTTACAGCTCCTCTATGGCGAGAGATGACCTTACAGGTCCTCTATGGCGATAGATGTGACCTTACAGTATCTCTATGGCGAAAGATGTGATCCTACAGGTCCTCTATGGCGATAGATGACCTTACAGGTCCTCTATGCCGGTAGATGACCTTACAGGTCCTCTATGCCGGTAGATGACCTTGCAGGTCCTCTATGGCGGTAGATGACCCTACAGGTCCTCTATGGCGATAGATGACCATACAGTTCCTCTAAGGCGATAGATGTGATGTATGAAGATAATAGACCTTTAAGTTATTCTATAGAGACAAGATACCTTTAGGGTCTTTTATGGATATAAAATACCTTTATAGAAAATTATAGGAGACTTTTGAGGTCTTCTGCAGAAACTTTTCCTTTTTTGAAAGACCTTTCACTTGACTATAGACTTCTCTGTTACAAAAGTTAATTTCACCGAAACTCACTTCAATGAAACTTTGTTGTCGCTTCTGCCACGCACACTAAATCCTCAATTTCCCCGGCAACCTGTAAAGTTGGACACACAACGACAACGACAACACCAGCAACAACCGCTACAAATCGTATCATAAAATTGCCATTTCGGTCAGATTAACATTTTTGGGGTCATGGCAACTGAGTGACTGACTATCTTTGTTGGCTGCATTCACGCTGATTATATTTGTGGCTTAAGCTTTTGGTAACAGTTTCCTTTTCGCTTGCCAGCTGCAGACGTAAATTCGGTGGTACACACACCCACGCCAACAGGCACACACACACACACAATTGAACAATCGATTGGCCCGCCATACAATAATCATCTCTGTGCAACTATCCGTTGCATTGCAGCCTCTCTAAGTGAATAAGACGGATTTTCTAGAATCCATTGCCAGGAAAGCCCATAATTCCAAGAAATGTGCCACCATGCTGGTGATGAACAATGAAACGGCATACGCACAGACAGCCACACACACACACCCAAACGAACAACTTCTGAGCGAAATAAGACGTAAAACGCCAAACTGATGGAATTCTATTGAAAAAGATACAGTGAGAGATGTTGAAGCATGAAATGAGAAAATTTTGGAAATTCTGATTTCCAAGAAAACATTAATTTAAATTAAGCCAAGAGCTGAAATGAACGCAATTGTGTGAAGGAAAATAAGTGAAATGATGTCAAAGAGTTGATTTTAATTAAAATTTGAAAATTCTGTTTAAAACTGAGAAAATTCTGGAAAATTCGGGAGAAACTTCCAAAAAAAAAAAAAATCGTCATCTATGGCCCTTATGGACCTTAAAGGCCATCTATCGCCATAGAGGACCTCAAAGGTCATCTATCGCCATAGAGGACCTCAAAGGTCATCTATCGTCATAGAGGACCTAAAAGGTCATCTATCGCCAATAGAGGACCTTAAAGGTCATCTATCGCCAATAGAGGACCTTAAAGGTCATATATCGCCAATAGAGGACCTTAAAGGTCATCTATCGCCAATAGAGGACCTTAAAGATCATCTATCGCCAATAGAGGACCTTAAAGATCATCTATCGCCAATAGAGGACCTTAAAGGTCATCTATCGCCAATAGAGGACCTTAAAGGTCATCTATCGCCAATAGAGGACCTTAAAGGTCATCTTTCGCCAATAGAGGACCTTAAAGGTCATCTATCGCCAATAGAGAACCTTGAAGGTCATCTATCGCCAATAGAGGACCTTAAAGGTCATCTATCGCCAATAGAGGACCTTAAAGGTCATCTATCGCCAATAGGGGACCTTAAAGGTCATCTATCGCCAATAGGGGACCTTAAAGGTCATCTATCGCCAATAGGGGACCTTAAAGGTCATCTATCGCCATAGAGGACCTTAAAGGTCATCTATCGCCAATAGAGGACCTTAAAGGTCATCTATCGCCAATAGAGGACCTTAAAGGTCATCTATCGCCATAGAGGACCTCAAAGGTCATCTATCGTCATCAAGGACTTTATAGAGGAGTTTTATGGTTCATGGAAGATCGTAGTTACTTCTATCAATTACCCCTTCTCTCCCACTGTTCATCGAAAAATCACCCATAATAACGAAGAGCGACATTGCAATTTATTTGGATATCTGCCAAAACTTTCTTAATGAAAATCTCAATTGTATTTGCATGCAGGCCATTCGCAACTTTTCGTAGATTTCTTTTTTGGAATGTGTGCTTTTTCGTATTCTTCTTCTTCTGGAGGAAGGAAATTATACGGCCAAAGAATATGTTCCGTCGACACCACTACTCCACCACTGCCACCATCAATTGGTCGAATTCTCAATTGAAATCGATTTGAACGATTTAATGATGGTTATGCCAATTATACAATTCGGCGACCTGATCACAAGTTGAATGAGCGACGACGTCTTGCGTTGGAGAAATTATTTTAATTGGCATTTTTTCGGGAGGAGTGTGGGTGCAGAGTAAAAGCGAAGAAAGTAATTTTTTGTGAAAAATAGTATTAAAACTCAATATGAAGTTGCAGGGCAAAGAAAAAATTAAATAAATAAAATTATCAGTGCTAAGGATGAAAGTTGGGGAACAGTAGGAAAAAATGAAAAAGTTTTTGTGTTGGAAAAAATTATATTCTTGGAAAAGGGTGCTTTTAAAGTTCGTTTTATTAAGAGGATTTGCGGAGATTTGTGAAAGTTTTATAAATTTGTTCTTTGCTCAAGCAGTTAGAGGAAAGGGAAATGCTGGCATACACTCAAATAATCGATTCTATGTCTAATCTTTAGTCTAATTCGTCTAAGCAAAATATCTGACCATACTTCCACTTCCGTCTTGAAATAAAACACTTTTCAATTTCTAAATCGGACATATATGTCTGTTTTGTTATTGTTCGAGATTCAATGCAATGATTGGTTAAATCTGGAGTATTCCTCCATTAACTTAACTTCATATTAGTATCTATAAATAGAGCAATAGTTTTTCAAAACGAAACTATCATCTTTGCAAGAATATCATGATTTTATCCCGGCGAAGGGTATGGCTCCTTCAGCTGACATATATTTTTCTCGAATCTTAAAAATAAACCAGTTAACAAAAGTCAAAAGTCGGGCGGGGTCGACTATATGATACTATACACCGCTATGCATATTTAGTAGAGCTTTCGTAACAATCGAATTTATTTTAAGTAGATCATACCACCTATCAACACTTAGCTTCAGAGCACTTACAGTTTGCTACAGAGTCCATGATATCACTTAGAGAAGAATTATATTAAAACAATTAAAAAAGCTGTAAGTTCGGCCAGGCCGAACTTAGAATACCCTCCACCATTTGGTACAAATTTGGCAATTTTCAAAGAAATAAAATCCGTTAAAAATTCTGTTAAAATCGTAAAAATACCGAATATAGCCGTATATATGGGTCTATACGACGACGTAGACCTACATAGGCAACTTTTGTCATAAGCTATTACAATATTCAAATGCGAAACTTGAAAAAAATATTTAAAATGTAGCTAAAATCATCAAAATACCGAATATAGGGAGGCACAATGGGGGTTATAAAACGTGGACCTGCACAGACAATTTGCTGGCATAGGCTGTAGTATTCATTACCAACTTCAAATACTAAATTTGAAATAGTTCCGATAAATAATGTCGCTAAAATTATTCAAATACCGGATATCGGGGGAATCCTTTATATGGGGGCTATAAGAAGACGTGGACCTGCACAGACAATTTTCTGTCATAGGCTGTAGTATTCATTACGAACTTCAAACACTAAATTTGAAATAGTTCCGTTAAATAATGTCTTTGAATCATCAAAATATCCAATATCGGGGGATTTCGTTATATGGGCCTATACGAAAACGTGGACCTACATGGCCCATTTTCTGTTTTAGGCCGTATTAGCCATTACAAACTTTAATTACTAATTTTAAAACAATTCCGGTAAATAATGTCGCTAAAATCATCAAAATATCGCATATCGGGAGCTACCGTTATATGGGGGTTATACGAAGACGTGGACCCATTTTCAATACCAAAAGTCCTGCAGACATAATACACATTTGGGTAAAATTTCATCAACCTACTTCATTTCGTTCGGAAGCAAGAGTGATTTCCATAGACGGACAGACTTTTCTAAATCGACATAGAATTTTATGCTGATCAAGAATATTTGTTGGGTCTAAAATTAATATTTTGATGAGTTACAAACGGAATGACAAACTTAATATACCCTCCATACTATGTATGGTGGAGGGTATACAAATATTTGTTTTACATGTATCGAAGAATTGTCCTCATCTCAAAAATGATTCCCATTTGATTTGTTATTTCCTCCTCCATCTGTTCGTTATAAAAAGACTTCCACTTCATTACAAAACTAACCCATATGTTGTCATAACAACTCGGCTTTATTCCTAACCTCAAAAACACTGACATATCAACCACTAATATTGACAATAAAATGACAGGAGCAACATATCACTGACTTCGACATATTCTTTGTTTCGATTACAATCTAACGGGACAAAAAGCATCCAAGTTTTAAGAATTTCTTATCACTCCCTTTTTGTGGGTTTCGATATTGTGAGCAAAGA